GGGGTGGGGGCTCGGTGGGCAGCACACTGGGTGCTGGTCAGGGCGGGCAATCCAGAGGGAGAGGGCTGGTGTAGGGTGCCCTGTGCCCACAGGCCCCCTCCCCGGCTGCCCCCCACCCGCTCCCTGCCCTCCCTCTGCAGCGGCTGCAGGTCTGGGGACATCGCCGGTGACATGCGGCTGCTGCGGGCCCTGCTCTGCCTCGGGCTGCTGGCCGAGGCCACCCTGGCTTCCCGGGTGCGCACCCGACGAGAACTGGCCCCCGGCTTGTACGAGCACGGGGTCTACGATGCCGGCGGGTCCTACTGCCAGCGAGGGGACGTCTGCTGCCACGGCCGCGACGATGGCTGCACGGTGCCCTACCACGACACCCTCTGCTACTGTGACCTCTTCTGCAACCGCACCGTCTCCGACTGCTGCCCTGACTTCTGGGAGTATTGCCTGGGCATCCCGGCCCCCTTCCCCAAAGCCCCAGGTGAGGTGACACCCCCCACTGCTTCCCCCAAACCCAGCTGGGTGAGGGTCTCTGGGTGCCAGGGGCCAGCCCTGGGTGCCCCACGTGCTGTGTGGTGAGGCTGGTGCCCCTCGGGGTAAATGGGCGCAGCGGGATGTAGCACCCCACGGCCCTGCCCTCGCTGCAGAGCCGCTGCAGAGCGGCGGAAACTTGTACAAAGCGGCCAGGCTGGGGTTGGGCTCCCAAAACCGGGGCTGGGAGCCACCCGTGGCCCCGCAGCCCATCCCCTGTGCCTTCCCACGGGTACCTGTGGGGCAAAGCAAGGGCACGGGGGGACTCCATCCAGGCTTCCCCGGTCATGTCTGGGGCAAGCGGATGCTGGCCCTGATTTAACCCGCCTGGCAGCTGGGATGGGCAGGGCGGACGGGGGCGAGAGGGGGGCACGGGCAGCCCCCGCCGCGCAGCACAAGGCTCTCTAAGAAGTCCCTGCAGAGCGGAGCCAGCTCCCGGGTACAAGTGGCCCCTTTATCCCTGTCCCGCCGGGCTGTGCAGGCGAGGCTGGCTCTGCTCCGCAGCCCCACGGTTAACCCTCCCCGCGCTGGGCCAGCCCCGCTCCCACCCCGCACCATGGGGCGCGAGCTGGTCCCCAGCCCAGGTCTGGCGGTGCCGAGATGCAGCCAGGATTTAAGGACGGCGCTTATTTTCCCCTCAATATTTCCACCCCCCCGGAGCTATGAAGGTGCTGGCAGGACCTCCCGATGCAGCCGGGTGCTCACGGGGGTTCTTCCCCTCTCCCATCCAGGTTGTGCCCGTGCCGGCCGCCGCTACCCCACCGGAGCCACGTACCGGGAGAACTGCAACCTGTGGTGAGTGCCTCAGCGCATCCCGGTGCCATGCGGGCACCGCCAGCACGCTGCCCGCCCGGAGAAAAGGCATCACGGGGCCTGCGAGCACCGGGGCTGCCCTCAGCTGGCTCGGCGGGAGCACAAGGCCCGAGCTGGGTGGCGGGAGCCGGTGCCAAATGCCTTTGCTCTGGCATATTCGGAGCGGAGAGCCCGGGGGCCTTGAGCCGCTCCCAAGTTTCGGCGCCTGCCTTTGTGGGAGCCGCTCGCTCTGCCGGGTTAGCGCGTGGCCGGGTTGCCGACGCGGGCTTGGAGTTGCCGGGGCTTTTTTTCTGGCCACGCTAGTCCAAGCCCAGCTTGCCCAAGCCTGACAGGGCACGTCTGCAGCTGGCAGCCGTGGTGGCTCTGTGCCAGGCGGCCCAAGTCCGGCCCCGCCGCCGGCTCTGGGTGCGAGCAGCCCCTCCGCGCCATGCGCCAGGAGCTCGCTGTTTGCATTAGCGAGCAGCGCGGGGTTTATCTGGAAACGGCTGTGGTGGTATTAATGGCATCCCGGAGGTGGGGGATAAGGGAACCTGCGGGCACAGATCTGCCCGTAGACAAGGAGCGAACGCAACAGGGCTGGCTGCCTCGCAGCGATGCGGCAGATAAGGGAAATCAAAAGCTCCGTCTGGGGCGTGTGCGAGGGCATGAGCACGCATGTGTGCATGCGTGTGCGGGCATGTGAGCTGAAGGTGAAACGCCAGTCTGAGCCCTCCCCAAAGTCCCGATGATGCCCAGAATTTCTCTGGGACTGTGGCGCGGGGACACAGGGTAAGGTCGAGGTCCCGGAGCTGCATACTGGGAAGAGTGGTCCCTGCTGCTGGGAAAACATCCCCTTTTCCCAACAGCGCAGGCCCTCGGGGCTGAAGCTCCTCTTCTGCCAAAACCCTCGTGTCCCCCCCCTTTCCTCGGCGCCTGGAGAGCTGCAATTTCTGCAGCGCTTCACCCCAGACCTTGTCCCTGCAGACACCCGCAGGGGCTGGGGGGGGGTTGGCAAGGGACAGGTGGAATGACTGGGTGGAACAGAGGGGGGCTGCTGCGGGCACCCCCCCGAGGTGCCCCCATGGGAGTCCCCTGGGAGGTGACAGCCAGCCACGGGGTCCCCAGCACAGCACCGGGAGCGCTCGGGGCTGGGGAGGGGGCAAGTGCCAGGGGGTGCAGGTGCCACCGGCAGGATGGGGCCCGGCTGGCGGGACACGGCTTCGGCCTCGCAGGGCTCCTTAAAAGGGAAGAGTGTGGCGGGACTCGGCCGGCGGGCAGGAGGGAGCATGCCGAGCATTGCTGGCTGCGCGGGGGGAGCACAGCCCAGGGCTCCCCAGGGGCATCCGAACCCGGCACAAACACACACCCCCCCACCCACCCTCTGCCCCGGGTCTCAGCTCTCGGCTAACCCGGCCAGAGCGGCTTGTCCCGGGTGGGGGACACACACAGAGGCAGCTCCCAATCCCCTCCCCGGGCTGGCGTCCAAGCCCTGCTCTGATGTCTGCAGGCCTGGCTGCTTTTCAGCTGATTTTCTGTCCCATGCTCTGTCTGCCCTCCGGACTCCTGCAGAGGGGACCGGGACTGGTGGGGGGGGACACACACAGCCCCCAGGGCCACGCAGCGGGTTGCCCACCAGCTCCTGTCCCGGCATCACCCCATCCCGGGGTGCTGAGCAGCCGTGCGACCCCCAGACCCAGGTGCAGAAGCAACCCCAGCCCATCACAGCAGCAGGTCCCTGGTTTGGGAGAGGCAGCACCCACCGGGGTCCCCCCAGCCAGCCCGGGGCCGCTGTCCCTCCCCAGCTGACTGTCCCCTCTGCAGCACCTGCGGCCCCGGCGGGACGTGGCAGTGCGAGGATCACGCCTGCTTGATGGACGGGGAGCTGATTGACGCCATCAACAGGGGCAATTACGGGTAAGGACCGGGCAGCAGGAGGATGAGGAAGGGACCCTTCACTCCGTTGGTGCTTTTCGGGGCACCCCTGACCCCTGACCCCTCCTTCCATGCAGCTGGAGAGCCGCCAACTACAGCCAGTTTTGGGGCATGAAGCTGGAGGATGGGGTCCGGTACCGCCTGGGCACCTTCCGACCCTCTCCCACCGTCATGAACATGAACGAGATGCACGTGAGTTGCCACGGCCGCGAGGGGAAACTGAGGCACGCCGAGGGTGAACCCTGCCTGTCTCATGGCTTGTCCCAATGCTTCACCATCCCCTCGGCTGGTGATGTCCCCGCAGTGTCCCCGGCCCCTGGAAGGGGCTCTGCAGGCGGGGGGGAGTCAGGGAAGGGGCCGTGCCGGGTGGGTGCCACGGACAGCCCTTGTGTTTGGAGACAGCAGCTCAGCAAATTCCCCCTGACAATCCCCGGCTGCCAGTGTTGTTTTTTCCCCCTCTCCTCCGTGCTGCTTTCCCATCGGAAAGCCGGCCCCGCAGCTGCTGAGTCGGCAGAGCCGGCTGCGCCAGCGCTTTGCGAGAGGGGGTGCCTCCACCTGCCCCCGGGCTGCACCCGAAACCCCCCCCTGCTTTGGGGTGGGCAGCGGCCGGGGGTCCCATGGGCGCTGGCGGGGAGCGGGCGACGCGCGGTGCACGCCCAGCGCTGTGGCCTTGACTCCCGGCGAGGTTTAATTTTAGAGGCGCTTCCTGTACTGGGTGTTGTGGCCACGACCTCCCCAGGAAGGCTGAACTGTGCATGGCCACGGCGGGGGCACTGGTGTGTCCCCCCCCAAAGCGGAAAGGCTGGGCAAGAGGCGGCCAGAGGCCACAATGAGAGTCTCGAGACACCCAGGGCCGTGCACTTGGGGTCCACCGCCAGCCCCTTGGTGCTGTTGCTGCATAAGGAGCTGCTGGGGCTGAGGAGCCCAAATTTAGGGCGAGTTGAGGGATCCGGCTCCTCTGGGAGAAGGGGGCACCCGAATCGGGGTCACACTCTGCCAGGGTTATGGGCATCCCCAACCTGGGGGGCCCTGCAGTGGGAGCTGCTGGGGATGGGCTGCTGTGAGGTGGGGGGGGTTGTTCTTGAGCCCCCCTCTGCCTCTGCAGATGAGCATGGACTCCAACGAGGTGCTGCCCCGCCACTTCGACGCAGCCGCAAAGTGGCCCGGGATGATCCACGAGCCCCTGGACCAGGGCAACTGCGCCGGCTCCTGGGCCTTTTCCACGGCGGGTGAGAGGGGACGGAGCGGGAGGGGGTGACCGGTGGGGACGGGGACTAAACCTGCTGCTGTGGGGCTGAGAAGCGGAGCAGGACCCGCTCCCTGACCCCCTGCTCGCTCCCAGCCGTCGCCTCGGACCGCATCTCCATCCACTCCATGGGGCACATGACACCCGCCCTGTCACCCCAAAACCTCCTGTCGTGTGACACCCGCAACCAGAGGGGCTGCAGCGGGGGCCGGCTGGACGGCGCCTGGTGGTACCTCCGCAGGCGAGGGTGAGCGGGGACCTTCGGGATGGGATGGGGGGGACAGAGGCTGCCCCGCTGCTGGGGTGGGATAAGGGGGAGAGCTCGGGGTGCCCTGTGCTTGTCCTGTCCCCAGGGCTATCCCTTGGGCAGGCAGGGACAGAGGACTGCTATCCCTGGTGGGATGGCGAGTGGGGTTTGGGGATGGACCCGTGTGGGTGGCTCTGCCCCTCCTCATGTCCTTGTCCCCTGGCTCAGGGTGGTGACGGATGAGTGCTACCCCTTCACTAGCCAAGAGAGCCAGCCGGCGGCCCAGCCCTGCATGATGCACAGCCGCTCCACGGGCCGGGGCAAGCGGCAGGCGACGGCCCGTTGCCCCAACCCCCAGACCCGCGCCAACGAGATCTACCAGTCCACCCCTGCCTACCGCCTCTCCTCCAGCGTGAGTGCCCGTGGGCCAGGGCCGGGCGGGGCTGGGCCACCGGCGTGGGCGAAGCAGGAGCCGCTTGGCTCGGGGTGGTTTGCTGGGGAAAGCCAAGTTGGGAGAGGAAGCCGGGAAAAACCCGTTGCGGAGCCCCCGGGGGAGCTGCTCCTCCACCCGGCATCTCCCCAACACCCCGAAACAGCCTCTACCTGCATCCCCGGGGGGGGGGCAGTGCCGGGGGTCCCGGCCCCGGTACCACCCGGTTCTGTACTTGCAGGAAAAGGAGATCATGAAGGAGCTGCTGGAGAACGGCCCCGTGCAAGGTAGGGAGCGGGTGTGGGCCCCCCATCCTCGCGGCCCGAAGCTGGGCGCTTCAGTGGCCAGGGGAGGGGGGGACGAGGTGGGTGGGGGGCCAGGACCCCCCACTTCGGCTGCTCTCCCCGGTTAATGTTCAGCCAGGTGCCCAGGCAGGGCCGTGCTCTCGCCGGCCTCAGGGTGCCCGTCACGCTGCCCACACCAGCGAGCGCTTGTTGCTCATTAACTCCAGAGATTTAATCTCAGCAGTGGGTTTTGGTTTATTTTATTTTTTTAATTTTAATCCTCCTCTGAATCTTGTCACATCACCCGGGAGAGGATCCAGCTGCTACATTCCCTCCTCCTGGGCGATGCTCCGTGTGCCCCTGTGCCCGTACCATCCACGCTGGGGGACGCGGAGCCCCGGGGGGGGGCTCAGCACCCCGGTGTCCCCAGATCCTCTCCCCCCTGCCCGCAGCCATCCTGGAGGTGCACGAGGATTTCTTCATGTACAAGAGCGGGATCTATCGACACACGCCGGTGGCCGAGGGGAAGGGGCCGAAGCACCAGAGACACGGGACCCACTCGGTCAAAATCACTGGGTAGGTGGGGGGTGGCGTAGGGGGGAGCCCCGCTCTGGGTGGGAGAAGCCTCCTCCTCAGGGGACGAAAGGTGTTCCCTTCCTCGGGGAGGGAAGGAGGGTGCAGGGAGCTGTGTGGGGGTTCTTGTTCCAGCGCTGTGGCCACAAGTGACACGAGTGCGCAGTGCTCAGCCCCCGCGGAGGGAGGCGGGTTGGAGATGCAGAGCCCGAGGAGGGGAGCGGGGCCGGCTGCCCTGTGCCGGCGGCTTCCTTCCTCCTCCCCAGGGCTAAATATACCTGCCTGTGTTTGGGGAAGGGACGTAAATACCTCGGCCTGACCCTCAGGGAGGTGCCGAGGCCAGGAAACAAGGGGGGTCAACACAGCACCCCACTATCCTGGTGCCCCAGGACACCCCCCCCTACTCACAGCCCTGCCCTTCCAATGCAGATGGGGTGAGGAGCAGCTGCCTGATGGCCAGACCCAGAAATACTGGGTGAGTGTCGGCGAGTGTCACGAGTTTGCTGGGGCTCAGTCAGTGGGGGGGTG